AGGCTGACGCTCCATTCACTGAGCCAAACCGGTTTCAGTTGATTTTTTTTTTTTAATGCCCTTTACCGGAATCGAACCCAGGACCCTTCTGTCTGCAGGCTGACGCTCCAACCACTGAGCAAAACCAGCTAGGGCCCCCACTTGACTTTTGTTATTAGGGGTGGGGCTGGGGCTGCTGTTTTGTTTGTAGGGTTTGGCTGGAATAGGATTGTTATTGTCTGTTTTCTATCTTGCCAGGCTGTTGCAGGGCTCAACATAGTGTCTGGCACAAGAACCATTCAAATTTTAATAATAATAATAACAACTATTAATTAATTGTATATTATGTGCTGGCCATTTTAAATAAATATTTTGAATTTTTCAGAAAAACTCTAAAAGGTAGATATTATTATTCCTATTTTACAAGTGAAGAGCATGAGGCTCAGAGGGGTTAAGGAGAGGAAACCAGACTGAGAGGGATTAACCGGCCAAAGCCACCCCGATGTGGCAGAGGTGTGCATGCAGGCTGGCCCCAGTTCACTACTTATTGCTCCTCATGCCTGGTTGTTGATGATCTACAACAACTAAGCCCAGATCAGCCAGCTGCCTGAGTGGGCCAGAGGCTGTGGCCCCTATACCATTGCTTCTAAAAAAAAAGAGAATATAGTCTGAGAATGCTATCTGCTGTCAAAGAGTTCACCACCGGAAGAGGAAACCGTACAGGAGGCAGAGGGGGGCATTCTAGAAAGTTTAGTGATTCTGCAGAGGTGATTACAAAGTAAGAATGCAGGTTCTAGAGCCAGGATGCCTGAGATCAAATCCTGATCCGGCCACTTAACTCACTGTGTGACTCTGGGCAAATTACTCAATTGCTCCGGGTCTCCGTTTGCTCATCAGTACATCGGGGACAATGATAGTAGTCTCCTACCCCACAGGGTAGTTATGAGGATTACATGAATTGGGACACATATTGCTCAGTACATGTTGGCTATGTATAAAAGAAAGAGCATTAGAAGATGGATCAGATTTGGTTCTGCAAACAAGAGCATCGAGTCCGATGAGAGGCAGTGCCTGGGCATCAGAGCAGCAGTAAGCACCTTGGCTTGACTGTGGGGAGGGGCACTGGGACTTGGCTGCACAGGAGACAGTTGGTCTGAGTCTTACAGGTGAGTAGAGGTAGCTGTGGGCTGGCAGAAAGCAGAAACCTAGAAGATGCACTGGCTGGAGTGGAGCCCCCGAGGCTGGAGCCTTAGACGTGAGTCTGGGATAAGGAGTCTTACCAGAGGGAAGAGAAAGGAAGGGGGTCTGGAGGGAGGAGACCAAGGTTCACTGGGGAGGCCAGCCCCGGTGAGCAAGTGAGAGAGACAACTCTTTCCAGCTTCTCAGGACTCAGTCACTTCCCACCCCGGCCAAGGGGGGGAACTCTGCCTCCTGCCTGGAGGGGGTGTCAGACTTCTGGGGCAGCTGAGCAGCCCTGGGGGGGTTTCATGGCCCTGAGACCTCCTGCCAGCTGGGGATCTCATTTCCATAAGCATCCAGGTGCTCTCTTTCCACAGTTAATAAAAGATGGGTTCAGCTGACACCTGAGTGGGGATGTGGCTCTGTTGGAGTGACAGGTGGCTGTGCTGCTCTGGCTAATGGAGGAGGAACAGGCCCCGAGGGAGCAGGGGGAAGAGACTCAGACAAACAAGAACCACTGCCTGGAGCGGTACCTGCAGCCCAATCATAGCCATTGGACCCAGTACATTGAAAATTCACAATTCCTATATGCAATCAATATGAAATATTAATCCCTTATTTCACATTCTTTTTGTGTTGTCTTCAAATCCGGTGTTCATCTTGCACCATGTGTGATGATTTAAATTTAAATAAATTAATATTAAAAAATTCAGTTTCTCAGTCACACTGATGGGGAAAATAAGACATATTGGGAGGGGGGGGGCTTTTTTCAGTCGCCTGGTTTCTATAACCACACGAACTGCTTTCCAAGGGCTCAGGAGCCACATGTGGCCGCGTTGTTAGTGCGGATTTAGAGCACTTCCAGCCCAGAAGGTTCTGTGGGTCAGCCTTGGCTGGAGGCACCCAGGAGCCATTTTCCTGCAGCTGCGCAGGAGACAACGTGATAATCTGCAGGACAGTGAGCAAGCTCTGCCAGGACCCTTGTAAGGGTCTGTCAGGGTTTGTGCAGCCAGCATCTTTACTATGCCCGCTGGAGGCAAACGGAGTTAAAATAAAACTGCCCCATTTTTCTACACAATAAAGAGGGGGGGGGGCGGGGGGGCAGTTGATGTGAACCATGAAGAAACTCAGGTGTGAAAGAGATCAACCAAAGAACTTTCATGCATGTCTGCATGACCCAGGGACACAGACATTGGGTGGTAAGGGTTGAGGGTCGATGGGGGGAGGGGGAAAAGGACATATGTAACATTTTCAACAATAAAGAAACTCTAGTGTGAGAGGAGCTGGAGAAAATGTTTTTGCTGAGAGGAATGGGGAAGGGGAGTGTCACCCGAACCCGATGGCAGAAACATGGAAGAAAGACTTGGGGGAAATGGTAACTGCGGATGGGAATTTTTTAGGAGAAAACCAGAGTGAGGCAGTGTGACTCCTGTTCTCATCTCAGCACTGCCATAGACACTCAAGCATCAGAAAATGCTGGTGTGCCAGCCGTCATCTGGACACCGTTGAGAAGCGGCTGAGTAGAAAGCAGGACCCAGGAGTGTGTGCAATGTTCACGGAGCATCCTCAGAAGCTTGGCCCGGGGTTAGGCATTTGGGACATGTGAGTACTGAGACAGGCCCTTCCTGCTCTCCGCAGGGTGAGTGTGCTACACATGGAGGATTCTGGGTGCTTAAAGCACAAGAGAGTCTGAATCTGTTGAGTTGGGGGTTGAGGGGGTCACAGAAAGCCCCCCAAGGAAGGCTGCGAGGGAAGCACAGAAGCCACCAGAAAGGGTGGGGGTGAGACAGAAGGGGCAGCCGGGCAGTGGAAGGGTGGGGAGCAGACAGGAGCACCAGGATTCTGTCTCTCTGGCCTGGCCCGGCTCCTTGCTGGCCAAACAGCAGAGTCTTAGTCAACAGCCCTGGCCCAGGCCCATCTTGGCTGAAAGGGCAACTCGCCTGCCCCTCAGCACTGTGCTTGTGCTGGGGGCGGAGGGGACCACGGAGAGCGGGAGGGTGGTTCCCCCTCCTGTGAAGGCCCTGGGGGCAGAGAGGAGGAAGGGGCTCCAAGCAGGAGCGGAGCTTTTGGACACTGAGAGGCCCGGCCGAGCCCCTGCTCACCTCAGCTCCCTCAGCTTCTTGGCCATGGGCCAGGGCTGGTTGCGCATGTGGGTGATGAGCTTCTTCTTCTCTTCCACCTGCTCCCGGATCCTGGCCAGCTCCTCCTCAGACAGAGACTCCCGGGCAGAGGTGCTGGAGGCCACGGAGGGCGATCTGGAGGAAACCAGGCCCCAGCAGAGAGCGAAGAGGACGGGAGCTTGGGATCAGAGGAGCCCAGAGCAAGACAAACGGGGCCCCAGACACTCACAGCTTTGACCACCCCTGGCAGGCTTGCGCCTGCTCAGAAGCCCTCAGGGACTCACACTTTCTGTAGAAGAGGCCTGTAGTTCTGTCCTGTAGCTCAAGGTACCGGGGGGAAGGCCTCCCCACATCCCACTTCTCCGAGTCCTCCCCACATCCCAGACCCCAGCACCGTGCGGCCCAATAGAAACACAATGCGTGCCACAAACTGTAATTTAAATTTTTTTAAAATATATATATTTTATTGAATTTTTACAGAGAGGAAGGGAGAGGGATAGAGAGTTAGAAACATTGATGAGAAACATTGACCAGCCGCCTCTTGCACACCCCACACCAACCAATGTAGATCTCTTGACTGCAATTGAACCTGGGACCCTTAGTCCGCAGGCCGACACTTTTCACTGAGCCAAACCGGTTTTGGCAATTTAAAATTTTTTAGTAGCCCCATTAAAGTGGTAAAAGGAAATGGGTAAAATTAATTTTTAATAATGCCTTTCATTTAATGTACCATATTAAAAATTATAATTTTAACGTGTAATCAGTATAAAAATTATTAATGAGGTATTTTCCATTTTTTTTGTACTATCTTCAAAGTTTGGTGTTCATTTTGCACTTCGAGTGCCTGTCAATTCAGACATTACTGTACATTCTTTATTAAACATATCAGATCCGTATTTGAATTTCATAAAATTTATAATTGAAAAAAGTAGATTTGTATACCTCAATTTTTTGAGACATAAAAGTTTCTCGATAAAAGAAGCAAGTGGCAGAATGTCATTTTCTTTTGACAAAGAAATGCTTTGGAAAAATTGATTTCCAAACTATTATACATCTGTGTGTCCAAGTGAAATAAATGTACTGACTCTTGGGTCAGTTCTATATTAACATCAAATAATGGGAAATTCAGTCCCTGGTCACACCAGCCACATGTCAAGTACCCAGCACGTGGCTGGTTGCTGTTGGATTGGACGATGCTGCTGCCAAGAACTTTCGGCGGGAAACCCTGTTGTGTGATGACCCTCAGCATCTCATGGACAGGTCTCTGTGCTCAGCTGCCACCAAAATCCAGATTCTTCTCCACGCCGCCACCCCCATTAAACAGTTTATTACAACATTACATCTATTGTAATCAGAGTGGTGCTGTTTACAGACATTATCATACGAACATTTTTAACAAGAACAAACTACTACAAAAACAAGCATTTATTTGACATTTATTTGACCTTTATTTCAATTGCTTGCACATTATAACAGCCCAAAAGTATATAACCAGTAATAAAGTTACAAAAGCTATAACTTTTAAATCACATAGGTTTTCCTCAAATAAAAACAGTTAAGCAACATACAAAATAAAAGGAGAGCTACTGGTTGCCATTCATGCAGATTTGCTTTATTCAGATCTATTCCTGTTCATTTATCCATGAATCCTTTCAGGTTCAGTTCACTCACAAGAAGCAAACTGCTGGACAGGCATCATGTTTCCCTCCTGGAGACTGTGTTTGTCTTTGAAGGTTTTCCTCTTCCTTCAGCTTCTAACGATGACGATACTTGCGCTCTCGGTCTCGCTCTCGGCCACGCTCACGCTGTCCGTCGTGCTGTCGGTCTCGCTGTCGGTCCCTATGTCGGCCACGGTGTCTCTCTCTTTCTCTGCTTCTCTCTCTATAATAATCATCACGACGATCTCTACTGCGGGATCTATGACGCCGACTCTTTTCTCCTGATCCACTACAGTCCCTCTCTCTGGACCCTTCACGTCCTGATCCAGAACCATAAGCCTTGGATTCAATTGCACGAAGGCAATCTTGCAAAGAGCTAAGAAGAACTTTGCAACGATCATCAGCGGATACTTTGGATTGTTTAATTAAAGAAATTGCAGCTACCAGTGTCTCAATTGCACTCCCATGATCACCAGCACTGGCATCAGACACAGCTCTTGAAATAGCACTGCTTGAGATTGCCCTATTTTCATTCACGATTCCTTCAAACTCGGCTTCACTCGGTGGCGTTCTTGCTGTCTCCATTTCCCTTCCGGGAGGCCCAGAGTCCCCTCTATCATATGGCGGAGGTCGGCCACATGGATCTGTTGGTGGGGGGCCCCGACTGTCTGAGGTGGGCATGCCGCTGTGAGTCGGTGGAGGAAAGAAAGCTGGGTTCACATGTGGAGCTGGCCATGGGGCACCTGGAGGCGTTCCTGGAAGATACGGGGGAGGAGCAAGTGTAAAGGGCGGCCCCAGAGGACCAGGTGGACGAGGTGGAAAGGGACCTGGTGGTGGAGGTGGTCCTGCTGGCCCAGGAAATGCGTCCCCACCGGGCACAGCCCCCGGGAAACGGCCCCGTCCTCTCCCACCTCGTGGAAACGCTGCGCGGGACCGGCCTCCTCGAGGACCAGCTCTCCCTGCCCCAGCTTTGCCTTGTCCTGATCCTGTAAGTTTCCTGTACTTCCTTGCAAGGCGACGCAGGTACTGTTCATCGCATGGAATCACAACAGGATTCCGACCGTGAAGTTCTCTTTCAGGCAACAGATCCTTTATCTTTTTGGAGGATTCTCCGGATTCAACTTCAACAAGGGCAATCCCCTTTGACCGGCCGTTGGCCCGCTCTTCAAAAAACCTTATCTCCAGAATATCATGGACTCCCAAAGAATGCACTGCTTCGGCTAAGTCCTCAGCGGTTGTCCACCACGTTAGGTCTCCGATGTATACCGCAGACCTCTTGCCCGTGTGTGTACAGACATCATCCGGTGCGGCTCCTCTTCCCACATCATCGCCAGCAGCTGGTGAGAGAGGTTCCATGTAATCCCAGTATTCTGGGCCATCTCCATTATTTGCGCATGGAGAGATGGCATCGCCGTACAAATCTGTCTCATCAGGCCTGCCACATTCAGCTTCCAGGTTGAACTCTTCGTCTACATCCGCGTAAATGTCTAAGTAGTCCTCTGCGTCCGCCATCCTGCCTCTGCCGCCACTGCCTCCGCCACTGCCTCCGCCACTGCCTCCGCCGCTGCCGCCTCCGCCGCTGCCTCCGCAGCCACTGCCGCCACAGCCACTGCCGCCACAGCCACTGCCGCCACAGCCACTGCCGCCACAGTCACTGCCGCCACCGTCGCCGCCACCGCCGCCGCTGCTGCTGCTGCTGCCGCAGCCGCTGCCAGAATTGTGTGTTCTCTTCAGGCCTCTTTCCGTCTTAAGTACAGTCACTCTCACCTGAGTTAATCTAATCCAATCAACTTGGTCCAATTGGATCCACTAACTTTAATTTGATTAGCTTGATTTAATCTGATCAACTTGATTTAAGCTGGTCAATTAAATATAATCTGATCTATTTGATTTAATTGGATCAGAAGGTCACAGTTTGATTCCCAGTCAGAGCACATGTCCAGGTTGTGGGCTCGATCCCCCAGTAGTCAATCAATGATTCTCTACCTCTCCCTATCTCTCTTAAATAAATTAAAATTAAAATAAAAAATATATACATGAGAGATCAGATAACCTCTTTTTTAAAAAATATATATTTTATTGATTTTACACAGAGAGGAATTGAGAGGGATAGAGAGATAGAAACGTCGATGAGAGAGAAACATCGACCAGCTGCTTCTTGCACCCCCCCCCACTGGGGATGTGCCCACAACCAAGGTACATGCCCTTGACCAGAATCAAACCTGGGACCTTTCAGTCCACTGGCCAATGCTCTATCCACTGAGCCAAACTGGTTTCGGCAGATAACCTCTTGACTGGATAGTCAACTCACATCATCAGGGAAGGGCAGATAGATATCAGATGCCTCCAGATGGGATACCTTGAGAGGGACACAGTATCGCTTATATGGTATTCAAGCTGGGATGCATAGTCTAGCCACGAAGACACATCAGAAAACCCCCAAAATGAGGAACTTTCTATTAAACACAAAAACAGGATTGTACCTTCAAAAGCGTCATAAAGGAAAGGCTGCAAAATATCCCAGATGAAAGGAGACTAAGGAGATGTGACAACTAAATGAAATACTTGAACCTACATGTGTTCCTATACTAGCCTGTTAACCAAGCGGGACGTATAAATACGTCAAACGTAAACAATATCGGGTACGGGTAGGTCATATGAGTACATCCTTGAAATATATGTTGCGCCCTGAAACGGGCGGGACGTATATTTCCAAACAACAAAGGTATTAGTCATCCATACATGTCTGGACATGAATTTAAGACACGGAGGGAATCAGTATAATTTCACTAGTGAGAGTGGTGGACGTGTTCAACAAGAATTGTTTTGGAGTTAACACATGACTTACTGATTAAAGGGTATAGGATTTACTTAGATAATTTCTATAGGTCAATTCATTTGGCTGAACTCTTGTGTCAAAACAATACAGACATTGTTGGAACAATGAGGATAAACAGAGTCGTAATCCCCAGTGAAATAAAAACAAAAAAATTACAGAAAAATGAACATATAGTAAGATTCAAAGACAAACTTATGGTTTTAAAATGGAAGGATAAAAAAGACTTATTGATGCTCAGTTCTATTCATAATGACGAAAAGACAATGATTGAAAAGAGAGGAAGAAGGCAAGAAAAACCAAATGTTGTCCTGGATTATAACAAGAATATCTGTGGCGCAGATTTGGGAGGTGGAGTTATGGTGTCCTACACGGCTGCCTGTAATAGAGTAAAAAAAATTATTAAAATTTTTTTTCTATGATTAATTGATATGTGCTGCTTCAATGCATATATTATATACAAAAAAGATAAAGGTCATTTGGATGGATTACACTTTTTGATAGAGTGTGTAGAGAAATTGGTAGATAACAACATAGTGAAAACCCACCCAAGGACATCAACAAGCAGCTCTACATCTAAACCATCATGCTTAGTTGAAAGGCATTTTCCAGAACAAATGAAAACCAATATAGGAAAAACTAAATCCAGGAAATGCCGAGTTTGCTACAAAAAAGGTGTTAAGAAAGAATCTACATACTGGTGTCCAGATTGTAAGGTAGCAAGCACTATGTATCAACAATTGTTTTAAAATATATCACATGGAAGTTGAGTTTTGAATTTTTACATCTATATTTTAATTTTTTAAACTCAATTTTTCTATTTTATCTGTGTGCTTTTGTTTATTGTTCTGTAATTGTTAACTTTTTTATATTTTTTATTATGTACCTAAATAAAAAAATATATTTTTTGTAATCTTTATAATTGTTTGTAAAATTTATAATTTTTTAATTTGATGTTTCCATTTTTTTGTTGGTATTCTTTTCTATTTGTTTGTAATTTTGTATTTTCCTTTCTTCTTTATATATAAATAAACAAAAAAATATATTTCATAGTCTTTCCATTTATTTTAAGTATAAATAAAAAATAATAATAATATGAAATTACATCCTCCTGGCGTGACGTTCTGACACGTCCTAGTGAAAGAGTACGCACCCGTTATATGTTGCGTAATTAAAAAGGGAATTCCCCGGTTAACAGGTTAAGGGAATAAAAAGAAATGCTAGAAAGAACATTACCTAGTCAACTGACAAAACTGGAACTCACATAGATTAGACACGATATTGTGCTGATGCTAAGTTACAAGGGAGGGGCTGGTGAAGAATGCTGCCAGGGCGGCCTTCTTAGCGGGTTCATTAACAGGACATCAGAACGTGCACTTGGGTTACTGCCAGCTTTGAAGACCCGTTTGCAGCAGTCTCCGTGAGCTTCAGCTTCTGATGAATCCTGAGGAGCAATGGAGAACCATAGCAGAGAAGTGGACAGGAGGGGATCCTAGCCCTCGAACACCCAAAAGCCTGGAGCACAGGGATTTTTTTTATACACCTCATGCACACCCCATGATATCTGCCTTTGGGTCTTTGCATGGGGTGTTCCCTTGGTAGGGGGGGCATTCAATCATTGCTCATTCCAAACCCACCTTTGCTTTCTGCCTTGTCTAATGGTGACTGATAATTATGTCCTGTCGCCCCTACTAGTCTGTCAGCGTCTGGGGAACAAGACTGAGGCTTTTTCATCCCTCTGTGCACCGACATGGGCATGGATGAGTCCTTGTCTGCACCCCTTACTTTGCATCTGCCATCCAGACACTGGTGGTCTGTTGAGAATGGTGCGACTTCCCTCTAAAGTTTGGAACACACCAAGGCCCACTGGCAATGCATTCAAGTTCTCTTTAAGTTGTTAAGGGCACTCTTCATCCTTTACCTCCATAGTTTGTGTCCAGAGAATACCAGACAGTAGACAGAAGCCCTAATAGCTAAGGAGAGCTGACATGGGTGACAGGAGAGATCAGTGGCCAGTTTGAGGGCCTGAGCTCCATCTCTGTGAAGGCGGAGAGGCACCATGGACAATGACGGGGGTGTGGGTGAAGAGGGTTTGTTGAAACCCAGTGGGAAGGAGCGTCAACTTCACTATAGTCCTAATACCTCCACTGTTTCAAAAGCATCCCCACCCATCACCAACAGGGATTCTCGAAACATCCTGAGAAGTGAACAATGCAAAAAAGGGAGGCGAAGAGAGGGAGCTGTCCATTCAAAACTGGGAGTGAAACGTGGAACTAAAGTTTTGACTTGTCAATTCTGTATGCTGGTTGTGTTCATCAGCCCACGTGTGCTAGTGCTAATGAACAAAGGAAACAAAACAGATAAAGCAAACCCCCAAATCCTCAAACTTCAGAGCTGGTGGAACCCTTGAAGATCTTTTAGCTCAATGCTGTGTTTTACAGAAGAGGACACAGGTCCAGATCAGGGAAATGGTGTACTTAACGCCCTCCTATGAGTCCTGAATCCAATTTTGTTCATTTATATCAGCTCCTCTGCAGGAGCTGTGGCGAGTCACCCGCTAGAATCAGGAGACTTGGAGTCTTGTCCCACCCTGCAGTCACCTCCCTCCCCACGTGGAGCTTCCACTTGCTCTGGTGTGATATGAGGTGTGGAGTGAAGAGTGCCCAGTGACCAGTCCACCTGGATGGCCATGATTTCCCTCCAGGATCTGCCCCAGATTCGGAGAGGCAAACAGAAGCAGGAGAAGAGAGCAGGGGCAGCCTATTTATAAGGTTGGGGAGGGGGGGAGGAAAGGGTCCTGATCAGGAGAGGGAGAAAGATCAGCAGAAGAGAGAAAGCACCACTAAAAACACACCTGAATCAGAGTCACAACACACCTGTGTTTCTTCTGTTGCTTCCCCATCTCCTTCTTCTGCACCTCCTTTTCCTTCTTTGCGGATGCTCTCCGTTCCTTAAGGGAAGCCCTCCCATCTCTCTTCTTCCGCTCTTGGGCCCTCTGGGCTGTGCTCCGCTTCTGTTCCCCCAGCTCCTCTCGCTGTCTCCTGTGCTCTACCTGCTTCCTTTGGGGGGAGCCTGGCCTTGGGCTGCCCTTGGCCCACTCCTTCTGGCTAGCAGGGCCTCCGCACCTGCCTGCCACTCCCTCTGCTTTGGGGGCCGGCTTCCTGGAGGGTCTCCTCTCAGATCTGTCACCAGCGTAACCTCTGGAGGGGGAGCAGGAGCACAGTTGCGGGTGGTTTCCATGAATACCATTTCTGTCTTTGTGCCAGTGTGGAGAGTGGCTACAGTGTTTGCACAGGTTCAAGCCTGGGTCTAATGAGAGGGCACAGTCCTCTGATGGCCACGTGCAAGCCCCACCTTGCGGGGCAGAGCCCTCCCAGCACAATTATAGCCAACAGCTATAGTTATAAGCTTGAACTGATGGTCTGAACACATGGTCCCATGTGCCGCAGTGATGTGGGCTGGATGGAGTTCAGGTGCATGTAATTGAGTGGGATCGAAACCCAGGAGAATGCTGTAAACATCTTGAACCATGCCCTTACTTTGCCTCGTAGAATCTGGCTATAAAATAAAGACACGGCTTATACTCCATGGGGCTGTTCCTAGCTCTCCATAAGAGAGGCTCTCCATCAAGAGGACAGTGTCCCACCCAGACCCAGCTTTTTTTCTCTCGTGTGTC